ATATCTGTGTAAAGAGATAATGGAGACATTCAATATCATTTGTCAGAACATGGCCTGGGCCTACTGAGGAACATACCATCAATTGCTCTAATGCAAGTTAAAGATGAAGCTGAAGAAAATCAAAACAAATCCATGAGTTTAGAGACTGACTCAAGAAAAGATTATGCACACTTCACACTAATGACTGAAGACCAGATGAGTTGTGAGATGACATCAAGGACATCATGTATGAAGAAAGGAAAAGGTCATTAAAAATACAGGAAAGAAAGAAAAGATCAATATGGATGCCAGAACACACTTGGAAACTTGCTTTTGTTTGTAGAGTAGCTAAATCACATGGAAAAAATGATGAACAGGAGAGGCCCTTCATGAACAGAGGTCAGCTACAGATGATAAAATATTAAAATGAAATATGCAAAGATTTGGAGTTAGAAAACCAAAAGGGAAGAGCACACTTGGCATGTCTCAAGGGAACTTTAGAAAAAAATTCAAGCTTCAACTTGCAATGTTAAAGAATTGTTGTTAAGTGCTGTCAAGTCAGTTCTGACTCATAGCAACCCTATGTAGGGTTTTCAAGGAGCAGTTGAGGAGTTTGAACCACCGACTCTGCAGTCAAGTGCTTATCCTACAGCACCACACCAGGACTCCTTTAAGGAATTACATGGGCAAAATATTGAACTATGCATGAAATATTAAAAGAATATGGAAGGAATACATAGTTATTATACTAAAAAGAAGTAGTTGATGTTCAACCATTTCAGGATGTAGCTATGTGGTCAAGAACTAAAGGTACTGAAGGAGGAAGTCCAGAATGCACTGAATTTCACATGTGTGAAAAGGCTCCTAGAACTGATGGGATATGAGTTGAGATGATCCAACAAATGGATACCATGTTGGAAGTACTCACTCGTCTTTGCCAAGAAATTTGGAAAAACAGCTATTTGGCCATATCTGTGCCCAGTCTAAAGAAATATGATCCAACAGAATAAGGAAAACATCAAACAATATCATACGCAAATAAATTTTTGCTGAAGTTCATTTAAAAATGTCTAGAGCAATACATCGATAGGAAATCACCAGAAATTCAAGCCAGATTCAGAAGAGGATGTGGAACTAGCAAGAGAATACCAGAAGATGCTTTGCTGTTGTTAAGTGTCGTCGAGTCAGTTCCAATTCATAGCAAACCTGTATAGCGTTTCTGAGGAGCAGCTAATGGGTTTGAATTGCTGACCTCTTAGCTCACAGTCCAGTGTTGACCTTATAGCACCACATTAGGAGTACAAAAAGATGTTTACCTCTGCTTGATTGATTATGCAAAGGTATTTAACTGTGTGGATCGTAACAATGATGGGCAGCATTGAGGAAAATGGGAATTCAGAACACTTAATTGTGCTCTTGTGGAAACTGTACATAGACTAAGGAGCAGTCGTCCAAACAGAACAAGAGAATACTGCATGGTTTAAAATCAGGTAATGTGTGCATCAGGTTTGTATCCTTTCACCATACTTATTCAATCTATATGCTGAGCAAATACTCCAAGAAGCTAAATTATATGAAGAACACAGAATCAGGATTGTAGGAAGAGTCACTAAAAACCTGTGATACGCAGATGATACAACTTTGTTGCTGAAAGGGAAGACATGAAGCACTTACTGATAAAGATCAAAGATTTTGGAATAGATTATATCTCAAAATTTTAAAAACTCACAACTTGATCTATAAGCAACATCATGATAAATGAAGAAAAACCTGTGATACGCAGATGATACAACTTTGTTGCTGAAAGGGAAGACATGAAGCACTTACTGATAAAGATCAAAGATTTTGGAATAGATTATATCTCAAAATTTTAAAAACTCACAACTTGATCTATAAGCAACATCATGATAAATGAAGAAAAAATTTATGTTGTCAAGGATTTCTTATACTTGGCTCCAAAATCAACATCCATGGAAACAGTAGTCAAGAAATCAAACAACATATTGCATTGGGCAAATCTGCTGCAAAAGATCTCTTTTTAAAGTGTTAAAAAGCAAAGATGTCACCTTGAGGACTAAGGTACAGCTCAAATGCATGTGAAAGCTGGACAGTAAATAAGGAAGATCAAAGAAGAATTGATGCTTTGAATTACAATGTTGGCGAAGAATATTGAATGTAACATGGACTGCCAGAAGAATGAAGAAATTTGTTTTGGAAAAAGTACAGAATGCTCCTTAGAAGTGAATATGATGAAACAACTTGTATTTTGGACATGTTATCACAAGGGACCAGATCCTGGAGAAAAGCTTCATGGCTTCATGGTTGGTAGAGGAGAGGGTGAGGGAAAAAAAGATCTTCAAGCAGATAGAGTGACACAGTGAGCTCAAACATAGCAGTGATTGTGAGAACAGCACAGGACCGAGCAGTTTCGTTCTGTTGTACATAGGGTCACTAGAGTTAGAACATGACTTGATGGCACTGGACAATAACAATCTTGGCTTTAAAAATTGATGACACAGAGCTACACTAAGGACCAACCATTGTGGAGAAGAGTGAATAGGAGCTCACATTGACTACATTTGTTTTTGTTTGTTGTTAAGTGCCATCTAGTCGGTTCCAACTCTTGTCAGAACTGTAAGGGTTTCTGAAGAGCAGCTGGTGAGTTTGAACCACTAACCTTGCAGTTCAAACAGAACTTGCAGTCCAGTGCTTATCCTACAGCACCACACCAGGACTCCACATTGACTAAATTGTTGTTGTTGTTGTTAAGTGCCATCAAGTCAGTTCCAACCTATAGCAACCCAGTATAGGGTTTCCGAGGAGCAGCTGGTAAGCTTGACCCACCAACCTTGGTGGTTCAGACTGACCATGCAGTCCAGTGCATTAACCCACAGTGCCACACCAGAATTCCACATTGACTAAACAGAATCCATCAACTCCAGGGTGGCTGTAAAATAGATATTAGGCATGGTGCTAGATAAAAACTTGCAACATTTTTAGTTGTAGAATCCTTCTTGAAGTAGTAGCTAAAATGTTCTTTGATGATAATGGACCTTCTAACTCTTCTGCAAATATAATTAGCTAATTCCCATATTTATGGTTTTTTTTAAACAATATTCCATCTAAAATAATCTTTTTTCTTATATCTGTCAATACATACCATGTTTTTCATAATCCAGCTCAAGACTTGAATTCACCGAGGCTTCCTTGATGAACATTATCCCCAAATGATCACTGACTTGCTTTCTATTAATACTGTAATAAGTATAATTTTATTATATCATCTGTAACTTGCTTTTTTAAAATGCTTTTCAGGTTTAGGATTTTCTCATGCTTCTGTTATATTCTCCCCAGATAGAGTTTGTTTCTTTCTGGCCTTAGTCAAAGTCCTGAGTAGGAAGGGATTCTTCTTACACCTTCAAATCTACAAGTTTGGAGTTACAGTTGGACAACTTTGGGAAGACAGCCTGACTCTGGAACCCCTGCGCACATACCCAAGTTAAGTTACAGAACAGGGCAGTGGGGCTCTTCTTGTGGCCCTTCAGCTGCCACTTAGTCCCCAATCAAGTTACCCTTCAATGCCTCTCACCAACTCAGTAAGGACAATCTTTCAAGCTATCCTTTCTCCTTTTAATTCTCAACCAACCCTCTCAACTTCTCACTTGCTCCAGTCTAAAACACCACAAGATTCTGTAGCATGTAAGATATCCACCTTCTCTTAATAATTTCTCCCTTGCTTTTGATAATGACAGGACATCAACATAAGAATTTACAGAGAAAATTCAGCCATAAAAATGTATCTTTGCCTAACAAAGTAAGATGAAGGTACTGTTGCCAACTGAATGAAAATTGGCAAAGTCTGGGGTAAATCAGTAGCTAATAAACAAACCATCTTTTATACAGTTGTTGTTCTTATGATGTAAAGAGCTATATATTCCCCGAAATGAAAAATATTTATAACTTAAAAGTATTTTGGGATTTGAATTTTGTATGTGTTGGCTGGACATAGTGTGAAACATGTTTGTGAACACTGGACCTTTTCTTAATCAAAGCTCCATGAAAGAATTAACCCTTAAAGTTCTAGACATCTACTCTGTACACATTTTTTTAAAAATGAACAGAAAGTGAAGTGCCATTCTCGGAAGAACTAAGAATATAGCCTCTTTAATCATCTTCTGTGTTCTGTGATTTCAGATGAGAAACCCTGGCTGAGAAAAACCATACTCAAGAAAAAGTGTCACTCCCCCAACCCTGGTGGTGCCAGGAAGGGACCATGTCCATGGACCTCCATCCGAGGGCATTATAGTCTGACATGTTTTATTGGCACCAAACAGATATGTCATAATTTAATTTGTGTCCTCCTCTCCCTAAATTATGTGCCAACTTGACTGGCCATGATTTTCAGTGGTTTGGCGTTATGTGATGATGTTATCACACCGCACCCATGATGTGACGTGATTATCCCATGTGTCTTAAATTCTCACTTCTATGCTGTTAATAAGGCCGATGCAATTGACAGGATTGGCTTGTATCATGAGTCCATCTCTTTTGAGATATAAAAGAGATTGAACAAGCAAGCAGAGTTCAGAGGAACCCACTACCACTAAGAAAAAAGAGCCTTATCAGTAGAAGGCACCCTTCGTACCCTAGGGTCCCTGCACTGTGAAGCTCCTAAGTCCAAAGGAAGATTGATACCAAGAGACATGGAGATCTCCAAGGAATGCTGGGGATGTTGAAAGGAAAGAAGGACTTTTCTCCAGAGCAGGAGCTCTGAATTTGAACTTTTAGCCTCCCAAACTATAAGAGAATAAAATTCTGTTAAAGCCATTAACTTGTAGTATTTCTGTTATAGCAGCACTAGATAACTAAGACAAGGTGCTGGAGCTCATTATATTTGAAGAAGTCTCAATGAAGCAAAGTTTACCATATTGATCACTTTTATGTTTATGTGACAAAGACCAAAGAAATCATCCAAGTGATCCATCATACAGCACTTCCAGTTGCAAAGAATACTGACTTACTTCAGGTGACAACACTCTACCATTTTTAAGCTTCTCATCCACACTGTTTCTTTGCCTCTGTAACTGATCCTTTTCCCTCTGGAGGGCTTGAACTTGGTCAGAAATCTCAACTTTCTCTTCAGCTGTGCTGCTTTGGAGCTGCACACTTTTTTCACACAACTCTTGGTCCAACAAGTTCAGGCGAGTTGATATTTTCAAACTGTCTTTGTTTAAGGCCTAAAAAGACAATCCCACCAGACACACCAAAAAATAGTTAATAGAAAACAAGAAAGCCTATAAATTAGGAAACAGAAAATTACTTAATGAAATGTTTAGCTTCTACATTTTTTTTTTTGGTTCATTTTCTAAAATCTTAAGTTGAATGCCATTTTCTAAAAAATGTAGTTCAAACTATGAATTTACTATCAATTATTGCCTTGGTCATACTAGACCATACAGCATAGGCTTTGAAAGGTATATTTTTCTCTTTTGTTGTTTTTTAAGTTGAATTCTTCTTCAGCCTTTAAAATTCCCTAGAAGTTAAATTTTGGTTTGTTGTTTCTATTTTTATTTCATTCTGGTCAGAAAATATGGCCAATTAGATTTACTGAGATCTTCCGTATTTCTCAATTTATGATCATTTTAAAAAAATGTATTTTCATCAAAGTAATTATAGTATATACTACTAAAAGATGTATAATAAAAAAGAATAAAAAAAAAACAGCTCCCTATTCCATACCTGAAGGAGCTCTGGTAGCGTAGTAGTTAAGAATCGGGCTGCGAACCTCAAGGTCAGCAGTTCGAAACTAACAGCTGTTCCGTGGGAGAAAGATGAGGCTTTCTGCTCCCGTAAAGATTTACAGCCTCGGAAACCCTGTACAGGGTCGCT